TAAGCCATCTGGTTTATGGTTATTTTGTTATAGCAGCCTGAGCAGACATATTGCCTTTTATATTTAATTATTCAGTTCTTTCCCAGTGTTTTTATAGATGTGTCACTACCTAACCTCCTTTCATTTCAGCCAAAAAGGACTCTATTTGGCATTTCTTGTAGGGCAGTTTGCTATGTTTTTATTGTGGGAATGTCTCTTAATTTCTCCTTCATTTTTGAGGAATAATTTTACTGGACATAGAATTCTTGGTAGACCATCATTTCTCTTCAGTATTTTGAATGTCACCCACTGTATTCGGGACTCTCTGGCTTATGAGCTGTTAACCTTATTTAGGGTCCTTTGTGAATTTCACTTTTTTGTGTTGCTCCTGAGACTCTTTGTTTTGTGGATCTGAGTTTATATATTAATTTCTTGAGCTGCTTAAATGTGCAGCTAATGCTTTTCATCAAATTTTGAGGGTTTGGGCAATTACTTTTCAAATATCCATTTTTTTTGCCCTTTATCCTCCTCTCCTGGAACTTCCATTCTGCATGTTAGTACACTTGATGGTGTTCCACACATCTGAGGTTCTGCTTTTCACGCTTTTGTTTTTTAGACAGGATATCTTCAATAGGCCTGTCCTCAAGTTCACCAATTTCTTCTACCAGTTCAAATCTGCTGTTGATACTCTCTAACGACCTTTTTCATTTCAGTGACTGTATTTTCAGTCCAGATCTGGTTTTTCATAATTTGTCTGTTTATTGGTATTTTTCTATTTGCTCTCACATTTAGTTAAACATGGTTTCCTTTAGTTCTTTGAACGTTTATAAAAGTTGACAAAGTATTTGTCTAATAAGTCCAACACCTGGACTCCACACACCTTTTTTTTTTGTCTTGTACTTTTTTGTTGAAAATTATTCCTATTTGTTTATTTGAGTTGGAGTCTCACTCTGTTGTCCAGGCTGGAGTGCAGTGGCACACTCACGACCACTACAGCCATGACCTGCTGGGCTCAGGCAATCCTTCTGCCTCCGCCTTCCAAGTAGCTGTAAATACAGGTAAATATCACCACACCAGGCTAATTTCTTGATTTATTGAAGAGATGAGGTCTTGCAGAGTTGCCCAGGCTGGTATCGAACCCATGGGCTCAGGCAATCCTCTTGCCTTGGCCTCCCAAAGTGCTGGGATTATAGGCATGAGCCACCACATCCGGCCAAAATTTAGACTTTTAAAATACAGCAGTTCTCTCTCTCCACTCCTCCTAGTCTCCCCTTGTCCTCAAAGGGTAAGTTTCAAGATTCCCAGGGGATCCTTGAATCCAGATAGTTGTTTTCTCTTATAGATACGTAATTGTAGTAATTTATAAATCAGGCACAGTAAGAGATCAGCAATAACACAGAACAATTACTGTTCAAATTTTCATAGATTTGTTCTTCCCATAAATCTTAGCGACCTCAGTATATGCTATTTCTTCTTCCCTTATTAAGTCGAGAATTTTTATCTTTTCACTCAAAGGAAGCACTTTATGGCTTCACTTTGGCATATCCAAATTGCCAGTATCACTACCATTGCACTTTGGTACCATTATTAAATAAAAGAAGTGTTACTTAAACTTTACTGTGATACTATGACACTCAATCTGATAACCACGACAGCTACTAAATGACTTAATGGGCAAATAGTACAAGCTGCATGAATATGCTAGACAAAGGGATGGCTCACATCCTCAGTGGGATGACACAAATTTCCTCAGGCTACTCAAAACTGTGCAATTTAAAACTTATAATTTACAGAATTTTCCACTTAGTATTTTCAGACCACAGTTGACCACGCAAAATTGAAACTGCAGAAAGCACAACTGCAGATAATGGGGGAGTACTATAATGCAATGTGTCAACTCTGGAAATCAAAATCCCTTTACCTCCCCAGAGTTTTTGGTTTGCTGCTGTTTATAGTGACCTTTCTTGACTAATACTGCAAAATACGCATTTTTTTGTTGTGACCACTTAAGTCTCTATTTCACTCCTTTAGTGGTCAGCTAATTGATCAGAGATTTCCTTAAATACCTTGAGCCAGTAACTTCCAGCCCTGACGTTCTCTGCGTCTGTCTTGGGATATGTCTTCAATATTCCAGCATATATCTTACAACTGTGTCTTAGCCTTAATTTCCTGTTTGCACAGAGCCTCAAGTTCTGCTACAGTGGGATTAGTGCCATCTTTTTTTTTTTTTTCTTGGGCACACAAACAGCTTTGCACTTTACTGTGGTCTTCTAGATTCTTAGGAACACAACTGAGCTCTTCAATGAGCCCTTCTTTGGCCAACTTTTTAGCCCCGGTGACTCAGGCAACCGCTGTGTTCAACTGCAGGGAATGATTTTTCACAAACACTCTGAAGACAAAGTCTTTTGCACAATGTGAGTTGAGTCAGTTAAAATAAAAACAAGCTCTGAAGACTGTTCTTTGGGAAACTTCAGATTTCTTTTTGGGGAGCTCCAAGATCCCTCCAATGGTGATAGGCTGCTGGTTTTAACAGCTGTCACAGTTGTAAGACTATTCGTTTTTAAGTTTACTTTGGAGTTAGGGAAAGGGGGAATAGGACAGGTTAAAATACTATGAACTATAACATTTTTAATTGAATTAATGTTCTTCTGACTCCTGGAAGTCTTTGGTTATAGTTCCAAAATTTATTTTGCCAACTTTTGCATTGTTCCTGTTGCTTTTGTACAACTAGATTTTTGGAGGTTCTTACTCTGCTAAACCAGAAGAACTCTCAATGAAGTTTTTAGAGTAACAACCATTGCATAGGAACTATTAATGTTCCTTTCTATAGTTATGCTTCTAAGATTAGCATACAAAAGGTATACATCTAGAAAAGCAAATATTTCTAGGTAGAAATGCAGTGGGAATTTAAGAGTTTTTTTTTTCTCATAGAGCATTTCAATTATTTCAGGTTATTCACATAAGAATTTTGAGTCTTTGACTTCTCAGATGTACACAAAGCAAATATTGTCTTCCTCATAAGGCTCAAATGATCCTGTAGGGGATAGGTGCCGTAGTCCATGCCTATAATCCCAACACTTTGGGAGGCCAGGGTGAGAGAATTGCTTGCCCGGGCAACATAGCAAGACCCCGATTCTACAAAGAGAAAAATTTTATAAGTATATGCCTGTAGTCCCAGCTACTTGGAAGGCTGAGTCAGGAAGACTGCTTGAGCCTAGGAGCCTGAGGCTGCAGTGAGCTATGATCCTGCTACTGCATTCCACCTGGGTGACAGAGTGAGATGTTGTCTCTTAAAACATTTTTTTGTTTAGTTTTGTTTTTTTGAGTAGGAGTCTCACTCTGTCGCCCAGACTGGAGTGCAGTGGCTGCTCCCGGCCACCGCAGCCTTGACCTGCTGGGCTCCGGCGATCCTTCCACCTCAGCCTTCCAAGTAGCCGGAATTACAGGCATGCGCTACCACGCTCAGCTGATTTTTTTGATTTATTGTAGAGATGAGGTCTTGCTGCACAGGCGGGTCTCGAACCCGCGGGCTCAGGCAATCCACTCACCTCAGCCTCCCAAAGGTGCAGGATTACAGGCTGAGCCACTGAACCCGGCTTAAAACATTTTTTAAAATGATGATGTAAAACTTATTACAAAGTCAAAGTAATCAAAACAGTGTGGTACTGGCATAAGGACAGACGTAAAGATCTATGTAATACAATGCCTATAAATAAACCCTCACATATATGGTCAACTGATTTAGAACAAGAGTTCTAAGACCATTCAGTGGAGAAAGGGATGAGAAAACTGAATATCCAAATGCAAATGAACAAAGCTGAACGCTGACTTCTGGCCATATACAAAACTCAAAAGGGATAAAAGACCTAGAGCTAAAACTATAAAACTCTTAAAACAGAAAAATCAGTCGGGCTCGGTGGCTCAGCCTGTAATCCCAGCGCTTTGGGAGGCTGAGGTGAGTGGACTGCCTGAGTCCACGGGTGCAAGACCTGCCGGGGCAACTTGGTGAGACCTCGTCTCCACAATAAAATAAAAAAAATTAGCCAGGTGTGGTAGTGCACACCTGTAGTTCCAGCTACCTGAAAGGCTGAGGCGGAAGGATCACCAGAGCCCAGCAGGTCGAGGCTGTGGTGGCCGGGAGTGGCCACTGCACTCCAGTCTAGGTGACAGAGTGAGACTCCAAC